GTCCATGCTGAAGTCCTGACCAGAGGACAGTATTAAGTTATCTGGTTGAGAGGTCATTGCTCAGCCCTTTGAATTAATGCCAGACTGCAGTATCCTCTGGTAATGTGCCACAGCCAGCTCCCATGAAACCAATTACCGGTCTAGAAGAAGAAGAACAATCATTATATCATAAAGACATTCCATTTGTTTGCATTTCTCTGAGGGAAAAAAAGCTTTGACGTTATTTCCTCTACAGGATAAAAAGACATTCTGTCCCAAAACACCATGACACTGATTAAAAGAGTCTTGATTATATGTTTGATAGTTACTGTATGTCTTCTACTGACCGTTTAATAACTAGACATCATATCTAACTTACGCTACAATCATCTACATAGTTTTCAAAAGTTTGTTATCGCTTTTCTTACCTCATGTAGACGAGATAGCGGTAAGGAAACACATTCTTCCCTGCGTACAATAGATATACAGTATTGATATTGTCTTTTGTTTTCAAATCAATAACAGCATAGTCGGCATTCCTTCACCGGGTGCTCATAACTGCCTGCTCGTTCTCACAAACCCACCGTGACGTGAGGAGGAGGAGGGACGTCATATGACCTCATGTGGTCATATGACCGGGCTCATTTACAAACACTGCTGCTCTGTCACCATCTGCTGGATGCATTCAGAAGCGACAAGACAAGTTACATTTTAAACAAGTCAACAAAAATGAGGCATTAATGATGCACAGGATATAATAAGGATAGCATTATATAAATATTTTTATAAGAAATAAGTTTTCTTTATTATATTGTTTTCTTTATAATATTATTTACTATATTGTTATTTGTACTGTAAAACATATAATTTCAAACATCTTTACAACTTTATTTGATAAGCACTCATCGGCCACTTTATAAGGTACACCTTACGAGAACCAGGTTGGACCCCTTTTGCCTTTAAAACTGTCTTAATCCTTATACCACACATAGATTCAATGTACTGGAAATGTTCCTCAGAGATTTTGGTCCGTATTGACATGATAGCATCACGTAGATCCATGATGCAAATCTCCCGTTCCACCACATCCCAAAGGTGCTCTATTGGATTGAGCTCTGGTGACTGTGGAGGCCATGTAAGTACAGTGAACTCATTGTCAAAAAAAAAAAGATGATTAGATGATTTGCGATTTATGACATGGCGCATTATCCTGCTGGAAGTAGCCATCAGAAGAGAGACACTGCTCGCTGCAGAGCCATTTGAGCAGAGCTGAGCTCCAGCGAGGGGGAGCATGAGCTCTCGCTCCTCCTCCTATAAGCTGTTTTAATGCGTACACCAACCCCACCCCTAACCCTACCCCCAGTGATATCACTTGTAGAAGAAGTGCAAGAAAGGAGGAGCGATAGCTCAAGCTCCCCCTCGCTGGAGCTCAGCTCTTCCCAAATGGCTCTGCAGTGAGCACCACTTGTCAGAAGATGGGTATGCTGTGGTCTTAAAGGGATGGACATGGTTAGCAACAATACTCTGGTATGCTGTGGCATTGACACAATGCTCAGTTGGTACTAATGGGCTCAAAGTGTGCCAAGAAAATATCCCCCACACCATCACACCACCACCACCAGCCTGAACCGCTGATACAAGCCAGGATGGATCCTGCCAAACTCTGACCCTACCATCGAATGTCACAGCAGAAATCAGACCAGGCAACATTTTTCCAATCTTCTATTGTCCAATTTTGGTGAGCCTGTGTGAATTGTAGCCTCGGTTTCCTGTTCTTAGCTGACAGGAGTGGCACCTGTTGTGGTCTTCTGCTTCCATCCGCCTCAAGGTTTGACATGTTGTGTGTTCAGAGATGTTCTTCTGCGTACCTCGGTTACTGTTGCTCTTCTATTAGCTTGAACCAGTCTGGCCATTCTCCTCTGACCTCTGGCATCAACGAGGCATTTGCACACACAGAATTGCTGCACACTGGAAATTCTGTCTACATGTCTAAATGCATTGAGTTGCTGCCTTGTGATTGACTGATTAGAAATTTGCGTTAATGTGCAATTGAAGAGGTGTACCCATTAAAGTGGCTTATAAGTGTATTTCGATTTGAAATAGAAAAGGGGCAAAAATATATACATTTGTCAAATTATTTAAGGCATCCATCCTATAAAAAAGACCACAATAAATGTTTAGAAATAGCAACAACAAAAAGTATTAAAGCCTAATAGCACAGAAGGGACTGTACTTTATTATAGCTGCTAAAGGTTTTATTATTTGACAGAAAGCACGAAGGAAAGGAAAAGGAAAGTTCACCCTATACATTTTTTAAAAAATAATTTACTCATCCTTCACTTGTCACAATCCTGTTTGAGATTCTTTCTTCTGTTCAACACAAAGAAGTTCTGACCACTATCAAAGTCAGTGGTTACAAGTTTCTAACATTTTTTAAAACATTTTCAAAAGCCACTTCCTGGGGTGGCAAACAGCAAAATTTCATTATTGGGTGAACTAGCAGTTAAACGAAGTTAGCTCATTCTACCAGCAGGGGTCATCATTGATTTATTGTAAATATGAATTAATTGGTGTGTATTTGAACAAAACAGAAGACAAATAGAAGATAAATATGTATAAATGTAAGATAAATATGAGATACTAAAAAACCTCAGTCTTCACATCCTGTTGTTTACTGATGCTTAGAACTATAATTTACATAACGAAGGTAGTAAATTTAATAGATTAAAAATATAGTGGTATCTTCCGGATTAAAGAAACTTCCTCAAATTGTGTTTCTGTAGACAGACCACAAGACAAAACTGCAAACCACACTTGTGCTAAGGATATCTGAGTTATAAAACTCAAACGTTTGGAAACACTGTTTTGGTCCGTGTAAGAAATTGAACTTTATTTACAACTTTATTAGCTTTAAAGGGGACCTATTATGCAAAAACCTGTTTTATAAGGGGTTTAAACAGTTGTGAGGCAACAGTTTGTGAATATAACCAGATTCTAATGGCCAAAATGTCTAAATTTCATTTTTATAATCACTCCATAAAAAGTCTGCAGAAACATTTTGTTTGACATCCTCCAGAGTCGAAAAGCCCCACCCATTAGGAGAAGTGCTGCAGCCTTCGATGAACATCCAAGTGGACGCACATGCGTGTGTAATTGGTGCCAATGTTTTATATCTTTATAAAATTAATCATTGTAAGTGTACATTACAACTTCTTAGTGCACCTCGGACTAAGATGTGGAATGTAGCTCGACTCAGTTTTGGAAAGAGGGCTGAAAGTACAATCTCATTTGAATTTAAAAGCGACAGTCACCAAAATGGAACAAAGTTAGTTTAGCAAAGACTTTGTAGCCGCCTGTTGCCCTCAGGGGGAATTCAAGCCGCTGGTGGGGGTTCCCAACTTGAACAAAAATAGCCTACAGGAATCCTGCAGGATTTTCATTTTTTTCTGCAGGAACCTGCTGGTATCCTGTAGGAATTATGAAATCCTGCAGGACAAATTGACAATATGTGCAGGCAATTCCTACAGGTTTTAGAATCATGCAGTACTTTTTGCAGGAATCCTGAAGGATTCATTTTTTTTCCCTTCATAAAAGCTGCTGTCCTGCAGGAATTCAAAAATCCTGTAGGACACATTAACAATATGTGCAGGAATTTCCTACAGGTTTTTACAATGGATCCAAGCAAGTGACAAATCCTGCAGGATTTTTATAATTCCTGCAGGACTTGCAGGAATTATTTGTTGTAATTGGAATGAAAGAAATTGTGTCACTTGTTTTTGGTAGCAATACAATATGAGTTATAACAGATAAACATTACAACAAACAAACAAAAAATAAGAAAATAAATACATAAATAAAGTATACAAATAGATTATAGGCAATTATAAAAATCAACCATTACACTAAACCATTCAAATTATGCATTTATGCAAACAAGCAAGCTGTACACTTTTACGTTTCATTTCTATACTTTTTTTCACTTATTAAAAATCTGTTTGGTTAGATGCAAAAAAAATAAAAATAAAAAAATAAATAAATAAAAAAACTGCAAGACCTGTCCTTGAGGTAGATATATGTTAAACGTATGTCTGTGCATTTTATGAGTTCAACAGAGTCTCTTCCTCTTTCTTTTAAAATGTTTGTTGCTGTTATCCTTTATTCTCTGTCTTTTTGACCTGAGCAACCTATTTTATTCTGTGTCCATTGCCTTTTTGTGGCAGCTGGGACTGGTGCCTCTTCATTTAAGTACACTTTTTACTCCATTTTTATTCTTTAAAAAGAAGCAGGTTAAGGTTATTGTTCAGGTGATTGGTAAACATAATGTGTTTTCTGCAATGTTAGAGTAAATTTAATTATTAAATTAATATAAACATTTGTTAAACATTTTAAATAAAATAAGATATAAATGCTAAATTGAAATTAGATAATACATTGCTGCCAATAATGTATAGGTCTATTTTATACACATAATATATTTACAATATTTTAAGTTAATAATGACTACTACTAATATATGTGTGTGTATTATTTGACAAAATGGACTAGACACATTAAAACAAACATTCTTATAAACAGATTTTTTCTTACAAAATAAATTATTTGTTTGTGGAATACGTGTGTTTTGATGAATCTGTGCTTTACAGATTTATACAGTCTTTCACGCTTAAAAAAGACGCTCCTTTTCGCCACCTACTGGCGTAACAGTGTAGTTTAAACTCCGGTAAAATGAATCATTCAGAGAAAAGATTCGATTCATTGAGATGACTCGCTTCACGTCGCCGATTCGAATGCACGTCAGTCAACTGTCACCAACCGTCTTCTGAAGGTAAAACACTTTTCTTAAGTTATTTTATCGTTAAAGTGCTCTAACAACTGCTCTGTTTTAATGTTAAATCAGTAAATTGTTTTGTAACACCAAAACAAATACCTACTTGATTTTTTAAGTCGAGATCACATTAACAATACTAGTACATTGCTAAATGTCTACTACCGCCCATCATATAAGAACTTAATTTAAAAAATGACTATATGAAAGGATATTTTTATCATTGTTAACATAACCAGTGTTTTATTTAGTATTTTTACTGCTTATAATTGATGCTAATATAGTTTTTTGTTACCTCAGAAATCATTTATCGCTGCGGCCGGACAGCAAACTGCTCTTTGGCAGGTACATTAAGGTAAAACTGTTGTCATGGATACAGTCAGCTGTAGCCATCAGAAATAATTGTGTGCATGTATGTGTGTGTTTATTTATGTCTATATATTTATCTATCTTAGAAAATGGGCAAAACATGAGTCCTAACATTAGTGGAATGGAAGGAGGAACCATCGACCTATGACATTATTGTTTCTAAAAAGAACCTACTGAAAACGAAATTTGAACCTGGGGATGTTGTGGATGTTGCCTATGAGGATGAAAGTTCACCAGCCACAGTTCTAGACATTAAAGGTAAAACGTACAGCAAACATCAAGACTTGTGATCATGAGTATTGGACAATAACCGGTTTCAAGGTTTATGTCTGTTTGGAAAAGTCATGGTTTTATAACCACCAATATTTTCTGCTATACCGTTTCCTAGGTATTTGTAAAGGTTTTTTATGTGTTGTAAAGAAATCTGTTTTTGAAACTAATGACGACAGCAGCAGTCAATGATTTATTTTAATTATTTAGCCTGACATGTTTGCCGTTCCAAAATATTTAAAATCTTTCCTAAAATATAATGTGTTTAAGTTGTTGTTTTTTACTCAGATGTTTAAAAATAAATTATTTTAGAGCAGTAATCACAATATTGTGATATTTTATCCAATGTTATCATACCAACAGAAACTTAAATCCTGCCCATGCTTTATCATGATTGAAGATAAGTATTTTCAACTTTATCTATTTCTCTTTAGAGAACAAAGAAACTCTCAGGAGGAGGATATTCAGAAGAGGGGAATTTACAGACGTAGTACAGAAGAAGTTTCCAAACGTACCAATAAAATTTATCAGAGCAGCAGTAAGGGGAAAAAGTAAATGATGAGCACAAGTTACAAGTAAGGTAATCATTTGTGCACGCACGCACGCACACACACACACGCACACACTTGTATGGACCCTTTTCACATTTGCGTGTTTTTTAGCAGCTGAAACCATCATAGTTGGTAAACTCCAAGCGCAGTGAATGAGAAAGAAAAACGACTTTTTTGACATTTGAAAACAATGTCAAATTTACTGTCCTGTCCCCATAGACACTTCATTAGATACTCCTCGCATTGTTTTTTTAATTTGACATAAAGATTGTATTATACATAAATGAATGTAAATGTACATAAGTTTGAAAAATCTAAATATTAAAAACTTTAAGGTATTTAAGATGCAGATGATCTTTAACAACACATCATAACAGTCTTGTGAAAAGGGTCCATTGGTTGTTTATGGGGATTCTTCATAGCTGTAATGTTTTTTATACTGTACAGACTGTATTCTGTATACTCTACCACTTACAGGACACTTTTTTTTCTTCTTTTTTTTAGGAAAATGGAGTAAACGCAGCCTGTTCATTGGATTCTGGTCTACTTTTTATTTTTATTTTTTTTAACAATTTTAATAAATAATTTGTGAAAATACATTGATTCATTGTGAAATTTGTCTAACTTTATGTCTTTTCTGCACAATAATCCTGCAGGAACTGTATATTTTATTAGACCTGTAGGATTGTAATTCCTGCAGGAACAATCCCTGCATAAATTTCCTTCATAAATCTCTTTCTTAAAATTTCCTTCACAAAATTCCTGCAGGTATTCCTACAGGAAAATGAGCTGGAAATCCTGTAGGATACCTGTATGAAATTCCTGCAGGATTCCTGTAGGCTATTTTTGTAAGGGGTTGCTTAGGAAACGTTTATGATAATATTCACTGAGAGTGAACATGCCTCTAAATATAAACTTTGTTAAGAAAAAAGAACACTAAATATAAATTGAATCAGTACATGAAAAACTTAAGTAGAAAGATGAACAAGAAAATGGTGTATTCTCAGTTATTGCGGCGATTTATCTCCTGCAAATGGGTCTGTGTGGATCTACAGCACGAAGATATAAGTGGCTGCTACAGGAGCCGTGAGCGCTACTGATGCTTGTATTGGCTGTTTACTCCCAAAAGTAATAAGGCTTATAACATGTATAAATACCAATGTCAAAACAACATGGTGGAAAGATTGTAGTGCTATTTAATCTGTTTTGATAAATGGAATTTCTTTTGAATCCGAATGAAAATATTTAGTCATAATTAGGCTATGCTTTGTCACAAATGCGGCGCTGGACTTATAAAACAAATCTGAGACAGCTCTGTTGGTAAAAGTTTTGTTGTAAATGTTGTGCAGAAACAATTCAAGATGACCCACGTAACTTGTTTCCTTCAAAAAATTTAATGACCGAAATATTTACAATGTATAATCATAGCAATAATCAAGTCGTGAAAAGAAACACAAATAATCCAGGTGACCCAAAACAAAGTGTCAAATTCATAACACAAATTAGTAACACAATTGAAACATTTCATGAGTACGTAAAAAATAAACTCAACCGATAGGTTTAACAGTAAACAACATTCAAAAAAGTGATTTGGAAAAGCAATGAAGCAGGTAAACCCACATTCAGCATCAGAATGGTGCATGCCACCCAAAAAAGAAAAGAAAAACAAAACAAAACAAAAACTCAACTCAACCAAAGAGGAAGAGCAGAAAAAGAGCTTTGCTTCAACAAAAGATCAATTATGTATTTATATTATATATATTTATATATAACTATTTATATAATTCTGTACAAATAATGAATATTTGGTATTATATTCACCCTTCATATAGATATGATATACAGTATAATAAATGAAAATATTCTCAGCTAAACAACTACCTTTCTCATATGTTAATTTCACTAAGATCTTTTCACATTCTGAGATTCAGGATTAATCCAGTCCCAAGAAAAAGATTCTCTACAGTAAGAAACCGAAAGCGGGGTGTCTTAGTCCAGTACCAAAGGCCCGCTGGCTGTTTTTCATATATACTGTGGTCTGGAGGGTAAATCCTTTCTTTTTGTTAAATACTGACATGATTTATTTTGATGGAAATCAATGGAGTAAATGTACATTTGAATAGATGTTTGTGAAAGCATATTTAAACAAAATGACCACCCAGTGCAACCCTTTCGAAAAAACAGAACCATCATACATCAAACAAAGTTTAGAAAGGACTCCATTGTTTTAAAAAATGGGACGTGAGCATTTTTTGATTTTCCAAATATTTGTTTAGAGGTCAGCTCACCGCAACGCTTTCAGACTGTCACGAAAATGGTAATGAAGATAAAGCATGGTGAAGAAGACACACGTGAGGATCTGTTAACAGCAGAAGCTGTTCAAACATGTGGCACATCAACATATTTGGCACATAAACACTGCCTGCATGTCTGGCATGTTTGCATATTGATAATTGAGCAAGTTAATCAGAAAGGACAGCTGCCACATTGCAGGACGGCATAATCACAACCATAATTACTCAAGATATAGAGAATAAACTTCAGAATAAAGAAAACGTGACTAAAGTAACCCATTAAGAATCAATAAATCAATTTGGCAAAACATTACATCAGCTGGTAATGCTTTGACATAAAGTTACACAAACTAAAATTCTACAGCTTTCATTAATCTTCAAATTATTTTGAAAAATATCTGGTAACAATAGTTTATGCACTGTGAACTAACATGAACTACTGAAACCACTGTATTTTTATTAACAAATGTTGTTAAAATATATATATATAGTTTAATATAGTTCATGTTAGCTATTGCATTAGACAATATTTGAAAGAGTTACCCATCAGTTTAATGTGTATTTCAACAGTCCGACAAGTTTGTAAGGCCTAGGAGAGTGGATTTCTGTAAACCCTGAGGGCCACGACTCAGAACTTTCAAATAATGATTAACAAGATAATCTATTAACACTTTCATTGATGTGAAATGAGAAGCAGAATGCCATATTGTCACTTTAGACGCTAAGTTTTAAGAAATTACTTCCCAAAATGTCCCAACAGCCAGAAGTCAGTTTCATCGATTACATGTGTCTCTTGAATGGAATGCTGTAATTGTGTTTAAACAATGACTTACAGCAGGAAGATACGGAGCAGTGACAAATTAAAAGAAAATATTTGCCTCTAACGATGAGCTTTTCTCAAGGTCATCTCGCAAAGGAAATTGAGAATATAAAGCTACAAGGAAGTGGAGTGGAAGTGATAAAACTAATCTCCTCTAATCTCTGGTCTTGTCTCCTTCAGTTGACACAGAGGCAAAAAAGGGTGGAAAGAGCGGATATAGCTTGACATCTGAAATGAAACGTAACCGTGCATGATGGGCACTGTAAGAAGATATGGTGAATTAAATATAGTAAAAAATGGCAAGAAAAAAGACTTTTAGGGGTTTTGAAACTGTTAGCAGTGACATTTACCTCAGGGCCTAAAATTAGCCTTTTGCCAGACTTGCCAATTACTTAAGAGAAAGTACCAAGCAAATAAACATGTTTTACCATTAAATGGTTCATTATTTCTTTGCAAAAAGGCAGATGTTTGGTAAACACACAGCTAAACAATGGATTATCACTACAATACTACTTAACAGTAGGTAATAATTAGGTTTATTTTAGTATTGTATAATAATATAAACTATTTAAAGGGGACCTATGATGAAAAACTATTTTTGTAAGCCGTTTGAACGGAACTGTCTGTATGTATAGTGAGTCCACAGTCATATTGGAGTGACAGAAACACAATAAGTCTCTATTTAAAAATTTCCTGACATTAAAATAAAATCCAAATCGCAGTGATTTTGAGGCCCACCACAATGTGACGTAGGAGTGCGGTTTTTCCCGCCCACCAATTGATTGACAGGCGCCATGTTTCTATAATAACACGTATACACATGTCCACAGAACATTTTGTTTGGCAAATAAACTAGGATTAATTTTTTTAAGTTTTATAAGATTAAAAGATTTTTATAACTGAGTATGTTTGCAATAAAGACAGTCGAATTGCTGTAATTCTTAACCACTATAATCACCACGGCTGCATGGTGTCAGTAAATGCTAATATGTGTGGGTATGAGTGTACTACAAAAGGCATTTGTGCAAGACTCATCATTTCAGAAAGGCTTGAAAAAACTCTACTACAAATACATTAAATAAACTTAATTGCCATTTTTGACCAATGAGCTGTATTTCAGCTTCATCAGACTCTGTCTCTGTCACTGACTGCTGTCTATCTGAGGCGCATGATGAGAAGCAGACATGCATGTGGTAACAGTGGGCGGGGAAAAGCAGCTCATTTGCTTTTAAAGCTACAGGCTACAAAATCAGCTACAATGTATTGAGACACCAAACTGGGCAGATTCTGGGGGCTATAATAAATAATCTGATGGGTATTTTGAGCTGAAACTTTACATACATATTCTGGAGACACCAAAGGCTTTTCTTAGATCTTGCAAAAGAGGTAAATAAGGTGCCATTTAAATGCGTATTTTAAGCAACTCATACACACAGCACTTGCAAATGCTGAAACACTGAAAACATTGCTATTGTGAGCTGCTCACGAGATCACAGTGCTGCGTTTCTAATTACATTTATTTCATTACAGCACAGTTATTATTACAATTTAAAAATAGTGCTAAACCACATTGTTCTTTGACATTGTAAAAATAAAAAAATGCAAAAATGGCAGATATCATTTACTGCGCAACTAATTTTTTGCTTTCATTTGGCACTTGGCAGGTGTTAATTTTAGGCCCCACTTTTTACGCTTCATATTACAGAACAAGTGTTAGAGCTGAACTGCTGGACGTCAAACAGGAAGTGGTATCATTAGTGAAGCACTTCGATGAAAAACAATTTTAAATTAAATAAATCCAACAATTGTATAACAAGTCAAAGTTGGCTAACCTTTGGTTATGATCATGTAATATAATCAACCATTCTCTGTACTGCAGTCACCTTTTTGTACAAATGCCTTCAAACTGACTTGAGAACAGTTTGATTATACTATTAAATCATTCTCACAGATGTGCAGTCTTACAGAAAAACCATCCATCACCAACCAGCAAGTGATCAAGATAATAATGGGTACACCGACATCTCCTTCAGCCCAGACAGAATCATTGATTCTTTGTCAAGACGTACAGAAAGGACATAAAAAGCATATTTTTGTGCAGAGAACATGGGTCAGACATTTGATAACAGCAGATTGAGAGAAAAACTGTTCAATAAAATAAATACAAACCGATGAATGGCCAAATGAGGCTGCAGAAATGAAACATTCAGAGACGTGAAATGACAAATCGATAGTCACACAAATCCTTGCAATTCAACTGCAACAATATCTTTTAGAACTTCATTTCCCTTGGAAATACATACAAACACACATTTAGAAGAAAGTGCAAAATGCATTTTTGAACCTTTACATTGTTGATTTTAGGTTTGAAGCAATTGCACCCAAAAACATACAGCAGCTCCTCTAGAATGACAATCCATCAGCATTATATCTGTAAGTACGAGAATAATAAAAACTGATCTCTTGATCTGACAGCGTAAACCCTCATTCTGAGATTG